GAAAAAATGGAAATAAAGTCTTTGTAAATAGGGAAGGGTGGAGGGGGTGAAGGGAGGGCTAGGAATGGGGAAAAAATAAGTACCAAGATGCATTATGTAAAGGTACAAGTTCCCAATGAGAAATGTAAATGTGTCATGTACCTACAATTTACCAATAAAAGAATTTAAGAAAAAAACCTAACAACTTATTAAACACTATGTAGACTGTGATTGTCCCTTAAATTTTGTAGTAGGTTCTATGCCAGTATAATAATTATTAAAGGTGGAAAACCTATATTCCTCTATCCTACATAAATGTAACATCAAAGGTATACCTTTTCCCACACCCACATTCAATAATGATGCTTGTCTCTATTAGATGTTATAAGCAGCCATGTAAAATAATTGATAATGGAATTATTAAAAGTTGCAGAAAATAAAAGCTGAAGTCAAAAGATTATATGCTATAAAATTCTCTTTATGATGATATTTGGAAAGGCAAAATTTTGGGGTCAGGCATAGATCTGTGGTTCCCATGGGACAGACTGGGATTGGGTGAAGAGTTAACTATAAAAGGGCAGCAGGGAATTTTAGGGGATCATGGAAATTTTTCATAGCTTGATTTTAGTGGTAGTATCTTTTTATCAAACACACAAAAAATGTATACTAAGAGGATGAATTTTATGGTATGTAAGTTATACTGTAGCCTGGCTGTAAAACAAGTAGTGAAAAAAAAAGTTATTCTTTGGGGGATGTTGAAAAAAGTGTAGATTTTGTTCTACAACGTGGGTTCTTTAATTTATTTTAAAATCACAAGTTTTTATTTTTAACTTATCAAATTGTTATTCAAAAATCTTAAGTTTATACTCAAACATAACTTATTTGCTTTCAACCCTGAGGCTAACACATATAAAAATTATATAAAAGAAAGGGGTAATTGTTCCAACTTTTTATTACCTTTGGTTTTCAGTTTGTTGAGAGGAAAGCAAAACAAAAGGACAAATTCACCTAGCGAAGTTCTAAATATTACAAAAACATTAATAAAACCTTACTGTAAATAAAGCCAGAAAAATCTTGCAGCCAGAGACAAATATACAACACAAACTTTGGTCTTTAATGACTAACAGCATACACTTAGAATGAAATTTTAACAATAGAGATAAGGCTGTGTATGTGAAGGGAAATGAACAGTGGCTGATCAAACAGAGCTCACAACTTCATGATTCCTCCCAGCCTGACTTGATTTGAAAAAGCTAGAGGGTACTTCAGAAAAAGCAACGTGGTTGGTTTGTCAGTGGTCATTAAGTTTCCTTCATTACTGAATGCTTAAAAATGAGGTCACACTAAATTTATTTTTAGGAATAGACAACATCCCAGAGTTTGTAAAGTAATAAATATATTCTAATTGAATATAACATAAACAATGAACACCATATTAACATATGTATATTTGTAAGTAATTATAATACTGATAATTGAAAGCATTATTTGTATTCATGTTATGAAAAAAGATCAAGAGATTAAGTAATGAGGCATGATCCGGTGGGGACCCTGGTACCCTTATTGTACATATTCATACAGTAGGATTGCTAGGTTACTTCTTTGAATTTCAGATATCTAAATTATAGCTTTTCAACTTATTCATATCCAATAAATACATAATTCAACTCAAGATAGCTTAAACAGTTAAACAGTTTATTATTTTTCACAATTGCGTGAGCAGCTTTGTAAAAATTTGGGGAGATCTGGAAAGAAAGGTGAGAATGAAATGAAGCTGATTAGCATACATACATATTTTAGAGCTAGACATTATTTAAATTTTGGTAAGTTTTGACTTTTTAAATTATATGTATCACAAATTTTGTGCCTGGGTCACAAGTACCAAAGTAAAAACATTAATAGAAAATATTTAAAATAGAAAAGGCTTCAGCTATTAACTAAATAAGGTCCTCTGTTATACCATGGTTGGCTACAGATAAGACTCTAAGAAGCTGAAGAGGAAAACAAATTATACACACTCAGGCTCTCTATGGATAGATACCCTCTACAAAAGAGGGCATTAGTTCTTGGGCCATAGTATCCCTTTTTGTCTTAATCAGTGCATGTTAGGTTGTTGACCCAAAATGTGTACTATTATTTTCTATTGGCTGATGTGCTGAGTCTTCCATTTTTAAAATACATCTATGACCTCTTTTTGTTTCAAGCCAAACAGCTCTTTAAAGTGATAAAAAGTGTGACGCATAGATTTTGGACATCAATCTTTCCTAGGAATTAAATTGCATTAAGCAAGCATTGTTTTGCTTATCTTCTATTTTGAGGTTCCACAAGGGAATTCCAAAATGAGAGAAAGCTGTGACAAGCATCTTAATTCTTGTTCCCTACTTGTGCTTGTCAGCTGGTGTGAGGAAATGATCTCAGAGACCAGAAGATAGAAGCCATACAAAAACAGAAATGAAACCTGAGTGTCACAATGGTGTCAGAGCAAAGCTAAGGAAATTTAGACAGCAGAGCAGCATAATCTTCAGTTAACCTCTATTTCATTTTCATAAATAGAACTTCATCTGAAGTACCAAATTGAAACTGAGACTGAGAAATGAGCCTGCTTATTAAGATGTGTCCAAATCTATTGTTGTCATGAGAAGTTGCTGACTTCAACTTCAGATTTACAACGTGAGTCATCATATTAGTATGCTGTGGGGGGGGGATTTTTAACTATGGGTTTTTACCTCAGAATGAGAATATGACCTTGGGCATCTGGGAAAACATTGTTAAAAGGGTTAGATACTTGGCAAGTAACTAGTACAAAATCTTCAGCAGAATAATATAGGTTAAAAGATCCACATATTTCCTTATATTTTACTTCCCAGGGCACTCAGAGTTATGGGAAAATATTTCAAATGTATTTCTTGTTTTCTCACAAAGCTATATGTTATATTTTAGGTGTCCTCCTCAATTTAATTCTTTCAGAATTAAAGAATGATAGTAATTTATTAATTATTGAAAAAAATCTCTGTGATACAATAATAATACATTAAGGAAGCACAGCTAGAAGAAAGGAAAAAAAATCCAAATTCAGATATAAAATAATTTTCCCTTAAAAATTATAAGTAAAAGCCTTATTGTCTTGTTATTTTAAACAAAATTGTAACTTAATATAAACTTATGACATATAAAATCCTATATAGATTGGGTTTTACATATCTAAAGATAATAGCTGAAATGGATTAGAATACCCTTGGGATCAACAAAATATCTGTAAGGCTTTGTAGAAACTTAAACACTTTAACTCTCTAGTATCATTTTTCCCTAAATTTTGCCTTTAATAATAATAAATTACTAATTAATATTATCATTATTAACAAATTTCAGATGCGTCCAAAATTAAATCTATGTATAATCTGAATATACTACAGAAATATTTTTTGCATGCATGTATATATTTGTATAAGAGAGTATACACTATTCATAAATGTATATTTAACAATGATTGCCCAGTTTTCCACCTCTCTGTGCAGTTTTCTGTATATGGGCTAAATAAATCTTAAGTTATAATGTTTAAATACCTTTCACAAATAATAAAAAAATTATTTTTTCTATGATGGGAATGTTAAAAATAGCAGTAAATATCAACTCAGAGACTTTTAACCACCAACTCAAACAAGATGATTACCAAATGTTTCTCTTGTCCT